AGGGGTACCTTCATTTTGTTTGTAGAATGTACCATTCCAGATGAAGTAAGTGTTGGTACGGCAGTGCCTCACCAAAGTTGGTACATCAGGATTCAGTCCCTGTTGGACCAAGTCTTCAATTATTGCTATGGTGTCAGGTACAGGTACCTTGGTGAACAGAGAGATTACATCGAAGCTGACAAGAAAATTATCTGGAGACAGTGAAATGTCGTTGATTAGAGAAACCAAGTGAGCTGAATTAGGTATTGCTGAGGTGGTGGTCTTGCCCGTGAATGGAAGCATGGTCTCAGACAGAAATCGGGCGATTTTGTAGGTTTAAAAAAACCTGGAGCAAAGTGAGCAAAAAAATAAGGGAGCTCGGGATCGCACCGAGAGACTGGAGATGGGAGCACGTGGGCGGCAGGGCGTCAGGCAGGTTCATGAAGTCGTGCGAGCTGTTGAGGTCGACGTGGGGCCAGACGCGTCGCGGTGAGAAGGAGAAACTTTATTTATATTGTAGGGATTCAATGAGAATCTTTTTTTATATTGTAGGGATCCAATGGGAGCACGTGGGCTGCAGGGATCCTATGAGAATCTTTATTTATATTGTAGGGATCCAATGAGAATCTTTATTTATATTGTAGGGATCCAATGAGAATCTTTATTTATATTGTAGGGATCCAATGATAATCTTTATTTATATTGTAAGGATTCAATGGGAATCTTTATTTATATTATAAGGATTCAATGAGAATCTTTATTTATATTGTAGGGATTCAATGGGAATATTTATTTATATTGTAGGGATTCAATGAGAATCTTTATTTATATTGTAGGGATCCAATGGGAATCTTTATTTATATTGTAAGGATCCAATGAGAATCTTTATTTATATTGTAGGGATCCATTGAGAATCTTTATTTATATTGTAAGGATTCAATGGGAATCTTTATTAATATTGTAAGGATCCAATGAGAATATGTATTTATATTGTAAGGATTCAATGAGAATCTTTGTTTATATTGTAGGGATTTAATGAGAATCTTTATTAAATATATTGTAAGGATTCAATGCTAATCTTTATTTATATTGTAAGGATTCAATGAGAATCTTTATTTATATTGTAAGGATCCAATGAGAATATATATTTATATTGTAGGTATTCAATGAGAATCTTTATATTGTAAGGATCCAATGATAATCTTTATTTATATTGTAGGGATTCAATGATAATCTTTATTCATATTGTAGGGATTCAATGAGAATCTTTATTTATATTGTAGGGATCCAATGATAATCTTTATTTATATTGTAAGGATTCAATGAGAATCTTTGTTTATATTGTAAGGATTCAATGGGAATCTTTATTTATATTGTAGGGATCCAATGAGAATCTTAATTTATATTGTAGGGATCCATTGAGAATATTTATTTATATTATAAGGATTCAATGAGAATATTTATTTATATTGTAGGGATTCAATGAGAATTTGTATTTATATTGTAGGGATCCAATGAGAATCTTTATTTATATTGTAAGGATTCAATGGGAATCTTTATTTATATTGTAGGGATCCAATGAGAATCTGTATTTATATTGTAAGGATTCAATGAGAATCTTTATTTATATTGTAAGGATCCAATGAGAATCTTTATTTATATTGTAAGGATCCAATGAGAATATGTATTTATATTGTAGGGATTGAATGAGAATCTTTATTTATATTGTAAGGATCCAATGAGAATCTTTATTTATATTGTAGGGATCCAATGGGAATCTTTATTTATATTGTAGGGATTCAATGGGAATCTTTATTAATATTGTAAGGATTCAATGAGAATCTTCATTTATATTGTAGGGATCCAATGAGAATCTTTATTTATATTGTAGGGATCCAATGAGAATCTTTATTTATATTGTAGGGATTCAATGAGAATCTTTATTTATATTGTAAGGATTCAATGAGAATCTTTATTTATATTGTCGGGATCCAATGAGCTATACGGCTCATTTTCACAGACGCCCAGTAGGGGCATGGGGTGAGAACGTTGCAACAACAAAACACAAAAATACGATAGAAGTGGAAAGTACAAGGTAAACATCACCCAAACACATACAAATTAACCATCCCCATCCATCCAGGCAAAGGCCACTGAGGTGTTGTTCAGACGCTACCTGGCCACAAATTACAGCTCATTAAAGTGGCCTTATCATTTGGACATTTATAGCACCAAATTAATCTAAATGATCTCAGTGAATGTTTCCAAATGTGGATGGAAAGACTCGGAGGACCCGGAGGAAACATCAACGCGACCATGGAGAGAGAGAGATACACAAACTCGAGGTGTTGTTCAGACGCTACCTGGCCACAAATTACAGCTCATTAAAGTGGCCTTATCATTTGGACATTTATAGCACCAAATTAATCTAAATGATCTCAGTGAATGTTTCCAAATGTGGATGGAAAGACTCGGAGGACCCGGAGGAAACATCAACGCGACCATGGAGAGAGAGAGATACACAAACTCGAAATATACAGCAGCAGGCGTCAAGGTTGGGATCGAACCCACGACCACCTGCATACCAGGCAAGGTAGTTAACATCTGATCACCGTGGCGTCCCTGAAATAAAATAAAGTGTATAAGTTCAAATTGCATAAATTCCTAAGCTTGGAAAAGGCAGTAAAACAACAGCAAAAAACAGTCCCAGACCACACTGAGACAACACCACTCAGTCCCTCAATAAAATTGTACATTAACATTGAACTCTCAATACATTAAAGATCCACGTTTACAAATCACAGAAGCAAATGTGGTTGTATCCATCACTAATCTTCTGCTTCAGAATGTTTTTTGAAGGGATGATAAACGACGGTTAATAATAATGAGAGTTGCAGCCAATGCATGTGTAGTGTCAACGATTCAGAGGCAGAGTTTCTAGGAGGCACTTTCTTTATTAACAACTTCCACGGTCTCGTCCGCACACTCTCCACAGTAGCTGAGCCCAGCCTGTACACAACACCGGCCGTCTAGCACTGACGGCGCTAACTGAGATAGCCAACTCCTCTCCTTCGTAGCGCAACGTCCAGCGGAGACGTTTAGCGATGACGGCGACGAGACGAGTCCACTCCCAGCACCGGCAGCCCCGAGCCCCCCGCTCTCGGCTCCTTTTATGCTCCCGGCGCGGCCTGGCTCCGCCCTGACCGCGCCTCCCTTCTCGAACCCTCCAGCAGGTTCCAGGGGCCTCCAGACGGGGTCCTCCGTGACCTTTGCCCCAGTTCTTCCGCTCTGCCCACACACCGTGCTCGCCCTCACCGGCGTCTGGGCTGTCTGTCCACCACAGTTGGCGCTGCTGTCCACCAGCCAGCGCTGTTCAGTTTCAGTTTATTTATTTTTGTATAGCCCTGTGAGCCATTCGGCTCTTGAATCGGGTGCAACCACAACAAACAAAAACACGAACAAAAAAAACATCTTAAAGTGACTATGTGACTGTGCAAACAGAAAATCCAAGAAAAAAACAGCAAAATATTCCTGAAAAAAGCACCGTACACCAACGCTGTGTGCAAAAAATCCAAGTGGGATGCAAGTAAAACAACAACAACAAGAAAACTTAGATTAAGGCCATCAGCCTAACTCCGTACTACAACAAAACAAACATGTCCATACCAAAAAACGTTTTCCAAATCACCAAAAAATAAAGCCATAATTGCAACGTAACAGTGATCACAGGGACTGTGACCGAATTTTTACAAAAAACTACATAAATAACATGTAACACCAAATCCAAGAGCCACAGCTGGCTGCATGAGTTACTCCACAACAACAGAGGCATCAATCGGAGTATCAAATTTTTCAATGCACCTTTAAGATCAGTACACTCTACACATGGAACGGGTTCAAAAGTACGTCCAGCAGAGGAGATGGAGCTGTGAAATCGGCTTCGAATGCACCGCGAATCGTTGCATCGAAACTTCAATTCGACGTTTCGTGGCGGGGGAGTCCCGTTTAGCCAACTACCCGGCTAGTTTGCGTGTGAGATTCGTGCAGTGCCGGATTAAGATAGTGCGGGGCCTATAGCATATGTTATAAAGGGGCCCTAAATAAAAAATATATATTAAAACACAAATTTTGAACTTGCATAGTAAAGTAATTGTATTTTTTCATTTGCTATACAGCCAGATAATACGACAAGTCTCTAACCTTAAACACCCAGTCGTTCATAAAAGTCGAAGGTGGTATAGTACTATAGTAATAGAGCAAGTGCAGAATCACTGAAGTCGGAACTACACGTGTAGTAGCTACTACTACACGTGTAGCTCCTGTTGCTACGAGGATAATCCGGCTCTGGATCCGTGCGGTTCGTTTATCATAGAAATGGGACGTCGAAGTCGCACGGAACTTAGGAGGAGCAGGCAGCCAACGCCGGAGCAACTCGTCGGAGACCACAAAAATAATGTTCCAGGTCGTGAGAGGTTGCAATCGACTTGAGGTTTTCATCCAGCAGTGGATTGATGAAGGCTGCCATGTATATCAGTTGTTAAGACGCACCAAGTATGTCGTGGTGTTTGTGAACTTAAAGCAGAGAGGCCGTTGCGGCCAGTACGAGTGGACGGTTGGGTGAGGCCACGTGGTAGTCTTGTGCCAAGATTTGTTGTCAATGACCCTCCACCACCCGACAGGACGATCGCGTTCACACCCCTCTATGTGACAGTATTTACAATGTATCGATCAATTGCTAGCCAAATAAATCTCCAGCTCACGGGTGGCTGAAGACTTTTTATGACGGAAGGAGGGCCGTTACCCGAAACGTCGCCTAATAAATGTTTTCCACCTTTTTAAGATCACGACGTTGTTTAGGAGGTCGGTTAAGCTGTACGGACGGGTCCAGATGTCTTGTGACCCCCCAATTAACAGCTGAATTGTTTTCCCCTTTGCATATTCACGTCTGTTTTAAATTAACCGTACTTACAAACGTGTTACGTTTTTTAGAATGGGGGGGGGGGGGGGGGGGGTCACAATACCCCAATGATCCGGAACAAAAAAAAACCTCGAATTGTTTCAGCGGGGAAACTTTTGGGTCGCAACCCTCGAATGCAATTATCAGCGTTAGAAACATTTTAAAACATTCAACTCCATGTCATTGTCGCCAGATGACGAGTCTGTTCTATTCTCTTGGACGTAGCGGCTCCAGGTAAAACAAAACATTAATCGTCGTAATTTTTTCACGCACTTTTAATTTTGTCTCCTGAAATCCAGGTCAGCGGGCTGCTCGCGTGATGAAGCCTCGGCCTATCCAGGCGAGGCCGCGTTCAGTTTAAACATAAAAACTTTACCCAAATGTAAATCGTCGTTACACTGCACGCGACGAACGTGCTTTCGTTCACAAGTTGCGATGGTCCGAGGTGTCGTGCCGCACGCTGGCGGTTATATTTTTTTACGGACGTACTGGCCCCCGTCATACGAACGTGGACCTTCCACTGCGGGTTTTCGTGCTACCGAACACCTCTCCTCTCCCTTCCCTCGTTGTTTTCAGTCGCCCCTCTTCTCACGCGAATCCGTGCGCTGTGACCTTCGACAGCTCCAGGTCTCGTAGCGCAGAAGCGGCTGCGACTGTCGATTGAACGCGCGCGCAGAGACCGACAGGAGACGCTGTCGACGGTGGCTTTGCGATTAGACGAAGTTTCCCTCTCCACTTGTTTTATTTCCATGAACTTAGTTTAAATTCGCCGCCACTTGGACGAAGGTTTGGCCACGTAAGACGCAGCACCCCCCGAATGTGCGCGCATCCCGCGCGCGCTTGTATGTGTAACGGGCCCTCAAACTCTTGCTGAAATAAAAATACGGGAGGTAAAGCTTGCGTCTTATAATCAATCATGTGGTAATCTGTATGCTCACAACGCATTGTGATGTGCGTTTTTCTTGACCGTGAAAATTGGTTGTAAATCGATGCATCGTTGCAATGCACCTACTGGAGTATGTACACCTTATGTTGAACTTCTTTTGCACCATACGTAGCCAACCGTGCTAATCGGAGGCGTTCGGGGAAGGACAACAAACAAAACACAAAAAGCAGTTCTCAAGAAATAAGTTTTCAATCGAGATTTAAAAGTGCTTATTAGCTCCATTGGCTTCCAAATATCGAAAGGAAGAGCATATGAGCAGCAACACGCCGTGCGGGTTTGTTCACTGCGTGTGACCTCCGCCATGCCCGGGCCCGTTGCATTCACAGACTCCGAGTCCTCGCCAGGCAGATGAGCCATGCCGTGCCCACGGGGGAACCGGCGTCCCCCGTCACGTCGGGCCTCCAAGGAGTCGGCGCGGCACCACCGCGACCGCCGCCGCCGCTGTCGCGCACCGCGGCCATCCTCGTGGTGGGAGACGAGATCCTGAAAGGACGTACCCCGGACACCAACTCGCACTTCATGTGCACGCGACTGCGAGCTCTGGGCGTGCGGGTGGAGCGCATCTCGGTGCTGGGCGACTCGGTGCCGGCGCTGGCTGATGAGTTGGCGCTCCTCGCCGGGCGCCACTCGCTGGTCATCGCCTGCGGAGGGGTCGGACCGACGCACGACGACGTCACCTTCGAGGTGTGGGCCCGGTGGCTCTGGAGGGGTGGGGGGGTGGTCGTAATGGCCGTGTCGGAGAGGTGAGGAGATGCTGGGATTTGAGTTTGGGTTTCGGACGCCTCTGACGAAGCTGCGTTCACTCGCTTAGCGAGGTAATGGTTTCAAATTCTTCTGAAAGCACGATGTCACGGGAAAAATATACCGCGTACATGGTATCACCACCCCGCTTTCCCACCAACGATGGGGTCAAGTGGCATCGGGGTGACGTAAATTATATCAAGACATGTTCAAGAGTCAGACAAGGAGAGCAACTCGCATCATAACAAAATCAAAAGATGTTCATAACACAATAAAAGCCTGAACATAAATGGATACATTTACTATCTCAGGTTCTATGACAACATAGTCATAATAATCACTATTGTTTTACAGATAGGAACAACAGGTTCCACACTGCCCACCAGGGATTATTTGTCTGTCTGTCGTGCATATCCGGAGTTTGGGCACTAATTTTTATCCGTATTTGGTGAGTGTTGTTTTTAGCTTGAACAAAGTATGATATCCTCCGTACGCAAATACGCAAATCATATTTAGAGCCCGCGAGGAAGAATGAAAACTTGGTTTCAGATTGGCGTGCGCTGCTTACACCAAACAGGCGCGACCTGCTGCAGCAGCTGCATGAACTTAAAGACCAACATCAGCAATAAATCAAGAATCATCATCAGATGCAATAGTAACAGCTACAACCTCCAACACGACTACGGTATCCAACACGGATCGCACGAATGCGCTGTCTAAGTTCCTACCTGCCCACTCCGAAAGAACGTGTTTAAAGGTCGGATTGAAAATGGCTGTAAAAGTTAGGCTCAAAATAAATGAGCAAAGTCAAAACTATTGAACGACAAATGTGCTGAGCAAATACAAGTAACTGGCAGAGCAACACAAGTGGGAAACAGCGGGACATGCATCAGGACAGTTGTTAAAGGGAGGCTGGGATCAAATGATAAAGTCGAGGCGAGCAAGTGCATGTTGGAGTGCTTTTGAAAAACTTAATTTCAAAAGCACAACCCCGTTGTACAAAGAGGAGAGAGTTGTACACTGGGGCACAGCAGTTGCTGTGCCATAGGGATCCTCACTATGGACACTTGACAAAGAAAATAGAACAAAAATAGCTTGGAAAGAAGCACTCAGAGATGCAGCATGCTTGATGTTCACGAGAGAAGAGGAGTATGCGGATTTAGGAACAAATGTAAAATTTGAGAAACAACCCTCGCTGTAAAGGAGAATAGGTTAGCTCGGGGAAGTCATGTGGCATTCCAAAAAGAGAATGCACCTAACAGGATGACTGCTACGAAGATGGAGTGATGAGGTCAGTTCATGTGCAAGGGTGCAGTTCATGAGGCAGAGTGGGCATCGCAGGACCATGAGGCATGGCGGGGGGAGGTATTCCTCAAGCAGTGGATAGACAGTTGTTGATAGTGCATAGTCATATCTTTCCATTGAGAAGGAGAGTGGCAGAGCTTAAATAAAGAATGTCGTTGCCATCAATCGGATCCTTTATTCGGTCAGGTGAGAGAACCAATGGAGCTACAAGTCTCTTTTTTTAAGGGAGGCCTGTAGAATCTGGTACCATGTATGGCATATAAGTGTACTCTTAGATCAGTGACTGCATCCAAGACTTGAGTAAGTTAAGCATTGTAAAGTATTCGGGAGACGCACCATGCACCGGGCATGTCCGACTGCCCGGTTGGTTACATTTGTGTTTTGTGTTGTCGCTATGGTTGCGCTGTCCTGCGTGGACGCCCTAGGCCGTGGCCCGGGCCTTCGGGGACACGCTGGTGCCAAACCCTGAGCTGGTGGCGCTCTGCCGCACCGTGTTTGGCGAAGCGAAGCCCGGTGATGCGCGAATGAAGCTGGCGTCCGTGCCTTCGACTGCGACGCTCAACTATGGCATCGACAAGAAGACGGGGGAGCGCTTCAGGTTCCCTGTGGTGCGCGCACGCACGCTGGCACGGTGGCACAATGCCCGGTAACTATGAGCAGGTAACAGCACCACTGAGGCCAGGGATAACTAGCTGTTTTTATTTTACCAAGTAAGATCCACTGAGCTATCTAACTCTTTTTTTCAGAAGCGACCTAGCCGCACATGATAGCTTAACGAAGTGGCTTATCATGCGGATAAGCATAGGATCAGGAGTGTCGAGTATAGGATTACCGATAGATCCATAGTCTTAAGTAGACTCTCGTGGAGAGCCATGAGCTAGAACCATAGACACACAGCCTGAAATACATGCTTTTTAGGGCAAAAAATAACTTTCCCTAATCATATTTTACCCACATTTAACATTCCGTTTTCCCTGTACCACTCACGGTCATAGTCCAAGGTTTTACTCTAATTCTACTTGTCGTGTCCTTCCGGTGAATTTACGCCGTCGCTTCACTTCCGATAGCTTTCTGAATTACAAACCTCCGTTGTGCCATGGGACTTGGGGAAGAGCCGTCGCCTTTGCCGTCATCGTCGCCGTCATCGTCGTCACTGCGCTGTGTGCGGAGGCGCAGGTGAGCGTGCGCAACGTCTTTCTGTTCCCGGGCATCCCCACGCTGCTTGAGAGAGCGTTTGTTGGGGTGGAGGACCTGCTGGTGGCGGTGGTGGGCGCCGGGACGCCGATGGCGATGGAGCACTCGCGCGAGATGCTGGTGAACGCCGACGAGGTGTCCATCACGAGCGTGCTCAACGAGGCCGATGCTCGCTTTCGGCCAGCCGTGCAGCTCGGCTCCTACCCGGACTGGCTGTGCAACTACTATCGCGTCAAGGTGGGCGTGCAGGGCGGAGGCGCGCGCGCGCGCTTTGCGGTGCCGGGGTGGCTGAAGCGCAGCGAGTTGGCGCAGTAGGGGGCACAGGTGGTGCATCTGCCGGTCATTCTCCCGCACCTCCGATTAACACGGTTGCCATGTAATTTAAATAGTAATTTAAGAAACGCAAAATCATGCTCATAGAGTCTCTACCGCGCATTAATGTCTCGGCAAGCTGTGGCTACGTACGGTGCGAAAGAAGTTTAACATTTGACTTTGGTGGATGGACATTAACAGAATAATAATTGCACCCATTTATGCTTCTGGGTGGGCAGAGGCAGTGGGTAATTAAGAATGTTGAACCATTGTTTCCATTGTGTTGGGAAATTGAATCGAGTTAGCCTCAAATGAGTACCTGGTGTGGTGTGTGAACATTAACACTGGGGAGACAAAGGCGGTCGGGCGTGGTGCTGGCCACCTTCCCCCTCGTGTGCCGTGCTGGCCTTCATTGGTGCACGCTAAAAGCACTTGCCCCAACAGTCTGTTCAAGCTATATGGGAGGTCTTTGTGTGTGAGATTGTGTGTTTGAGCGTCTGTCTCTCTGAGATTATGAGTGTGAAAATATTTATTTACATGTGAGAGTGTGTGTTTATTAACTCAAAACACCCTGGGTCTGTCCCGTAACCTGACAGCGAGCCTTCGACACATCACATGGCCCCAAAGTGCATCTAGCTTGGCTCAAGCGCTGTGGTGATATCACCGCCACTTAGTGGCAAACGGCGGCTGTTGTTACTGGTGTGTGAGTGTGTATGCATTTATTTAAGCATGTGTATGTGTAGTAGCATAGAAAAGTAATGTAGCTGCATAGCGCTGGCTGCTGGCAGGCAAGAGGATCTGCGGCTTACGGCAGCCCTGACGTCAGCAGGCCCGGTTAGACACCAGAGGGGGATCTAGGGGAAAGATCACAGAAGGGGCACACCAAGAACTCGCTGGTAGGTTCTAGAAAGGGGGCGTGGCCGGGGGCGGAGCCAGGCCACGCTGATAGTATAAGAAGGGCCCCTGTAGGGGACCTCGGGGCTGTTGACTGTAAGTGGGGTCCCCGTCGTGCTGCTCAAGTCCATCGTCGTCGTCACCATTCTCTTAGTCGCCGCAGTCATCGTCGCTTGATATTGCGCTGTTATACGGTTGTTGGCTGTATTGGTCAGCGCCATCGGTGTTAGACGGCTAGTGTTGTGTATAGGCTAGGGTGTGTGTAGCCTAGGCGACTGTAGGCTGTGTGAAGGGAGATTGTGAGTATAATAAAAAGAAGTGCCTCCAAGAATTACTGCCTCCGAGTTGAACCACTACACATGTACGAATGCATGCATTTCTGATGACAGTGTTGGTAATGATGGTAATTGTGACGATGACGATAATGATTGGTGGTGGTAATTGTGCTGGTGACGGTGATTATGGTGGTCTTCTTTCGCATGGCTGATGTAGATGCAGAGCAACAGCTACAATTTCACATTCAGGTGGCCAAGCCAGATAACCGTGTTAGGAGCAGCAGCGGAGTTTATCATCGCTGTGATGTCTCCTTCATATTTGTGAATCGAGCATTGCGTCGTTATACATTGTACGGTGCGTTCTGGATGACCACAGTTGCACGCTGGAGAATTTTCTATTTGTGCATCAGGTATCCGCATCTGCCATGGTTTGTGCGGGTGCTGTTTAGGGTGGACCATGAGCTTCATGGAAGATTATTGTGGTTAACTAACCCCATTCAGCAATGTAACTTTGGCAATAGAGGTTCTTCATATTGACGACGGCAACGGTGACGTTGATCGGTATCGATGACGATAATTGACGCCGGTGTGTGCCTGCAGCTGACCCTGGACGGCGAGTCGGAGGGCGCCGTGGACGCGGCGTTCCGCTTCCTGGAGGAGCGGCTCCCCGCCGGCTCCGTGGTGCGGATGGAGCGGCAGCCGGTGCATGTCGCCGCCCGTGCCGTCTACGAGCTCTCTGGCGCCGGTGACCAGCTCGCCGCCGGCAGCTCATTGACTCATGCTCATTCCATCCATCCACCAAAACAATTTTTATTTTACCAGGAAAGGCCCACTGAGCTATACAGCTCTTTTTCAGAAGCGACCTGGCCACAAACGATAGCTCACCAAAGTGTGGCTTATCACGTGGAAATTTATAGCCACCAAAAACTCTAAACGCGTATTTCTACATGTGGAGGGAAAAACCGGAGGACTCGGAGAAAAATCCACGCGACGACGGGGAGATAGACGTGCACACTCCAAATACACAGCAGGTGTCAGCGTCGGGATCGAACTCACGACCTCCTGTATACTAGGCGAGGTAGTTAACATCTTATAACAGTGGTGCCCTAACAGTTACCCATCCAACTACCTGCTCATTAACTTTGTTGTATGTATGTGTGAAGAAGTTATTTCGCACCGTACATAGCCAACCATGCTAATTGGAGGTGCAGGCGAAGGACAAAAAACTAAAAACAAAAAATCAGTTCTAAAAAATTGTTTTAAATCTTGATTTAAATGTGCATATCTCCAGCGGCTTACTAATATCGGAAGCAAGAACGTTCCAGGCAGCCATAGAAGCGCATCTGAAAGCGCGCGATGCAGTGACCGTCTTTGTACGAAGGTAGGGCAAAAGCCGCTGCTGCTGCTGCGAGGATAACTGGAGTCTGTGTGATGATTTACGCTCCTCGATGAGCTCAGCAAAGTGATCGTGGTTCATTTGTGGCGAGCACTTTCTCATAACGCTGTATTCGTTCGGCAACCGAAAGACAATGCAGCTCGGTCAGCGCCGGACGGATACGGCCGGATCTTGCAGTACCCCGTCACGACACGTGCCAGTGGCCGAATCCGCGTCGCTGTGTGACGTTGCTGTGTGACGTTGCTGTGTGACGTTGCTGTGTGATGTTGCTGTGTGACGTTGCTGTGTGACGCCGGCGTGTGACGTTGTGTGACGCCTGTGTGTGACGTTGCAGTGTGACGCCGGCGTGTGACATTGCTGTGTGACGCCGCTGTGTGACGTCGCTGTGTGACGTCGCTGTGTGACGTTGCTGTGTGACGCCGGCGTGTGACGTCGCTGTGTGACGCCGGCGTGTGACATCGCTGTGTGACGCCGGCGTGTGACGTCGCTGTGTGACGCCGGCGTGTGACGTCGCTGTGTGACGCCGGCGTGTGACGTCGCTGTGTGACGCCGGTGTGTGACGTCGCTGTGTGACGCCGGTGTGTGACGTTGCTGTGTGACGCCACTGTGTGACGCCACTGTGTGACGTCGCTGTGTGACGTCGCTGTGTGACGTCGCTGTGTGACGTTGCTGTGTGACGTCGCTGTGTGACGCCGGCGTGTGACGTCGCTGTGTGACGCCGGCGTGTGACGTCGCTGTGTGACGCCGGCGTGTGACGTCGCTGTGTGACGCCGGCGTGTGACGTCGCTGTGTGACGCCGGCGTGTGACGTCGCTGTGTGACGCCGGCGTGTGACGTCGCTGTGTGACGCCGCTGTGTGACGCCGGCGTGTGACGTCGCTGTGTGACGCCGGCGTGTGACGTCGCTGTGTGACGCCGGCGTGTGACGTCGCTGTGTGACGCCGGCGTGTGACATCGCTGTGTGACGCCGGCGTGTGACGTCGCTGTGTGACGCCGGCGTGTGACGTCGCTGTGTGACGCCGGCGTGTGACGTCGCTGTGTGACGCCGGCGTGTGCGTGGGTGTCGCGGCGTCAGGGTCCCCGCTGGGAGAGCGCGTGCGCTCGGCGCTCGCCGTGCTGGACGAGGCGCTCGACCGCTTCTCCCTCGACGAGCTCTGCGTCGCGTTCAACGGCGGCAAGGACTGCACCGTGCTGCTGCACCTCTTCTACGCGGCCGCCGCCAGGTTTACTCGGCCTCCCTGGCCCGCTGGCCCACCCACCCAGTCTGTCTATAGCCCACCCACCCAGTCTGTCTCTAGCCCACCCACCCAGTCTCTCTCTAGCCCACCCACCCAGTCTCTCTCTAGCCCACCCACCCAGTCTGTCTCTAGCCCACCCACCCGGTCTCTCTCTAGCCCACCCACCCAGTCTCTCTCTAGCCCACCCACCCAGTCTGTCTCTAGCCCACCCACCCATTCTCTCTCTAGCCCACTCACCCAGTCGCCCACTAGCCCACTCACCCAGTCTCCCACTAGCCCACTCACCCAGTCTCTCACTAGCCCACCCACCCAGTCTCTCACTAGCCCACTCACCCAGTCTCTCACTAGCCCACTCACCCAGTCTCTCACTAGCCCACTCACCCAGTCTCCCACTAGCCCACTCACCCAGTCTCCCACTAGCCCACCCACCCAGTCTCTCTCTAGCCCACCCACCCAGTCTCTCTCTAGCCCACCCACTCAATCTCTCTCTAGCCCACCCACCCAGTCTGTCTCTAGCCCACCCCACCCAGTCTCTCTCTAGCCCACCCACCCAGTCTCTCTCTAGCCCACCCACCAAGTCTGTCTCTAGCCCACCCACCAAGTCTCTCTCTAGCCCACCCACCAAGTCTCTCTCTAGCCCACCCACCCAGTCTCTCTCTAGCCCACCCACCCAGTCTCTCTCTAGCCCACCCACCAAGTATCTCTCTAGCCCACCCACCAAGTCTGTCTTTAGCCCATCCACCAAGTCTGTCTCTAGCCCATCCACCCAGTCTCTCTCTAGCCCACCCACCCAGTCTGTCTCTAGCCCACCCACCCAATCTGTCTCTAGCCCACCCACCCAGTCTGTCTATAGCCCACCCACCCAATCTGTCTCTAGCCCACCCACCCAGTCTGTCTCTAGCCCACCCACCTAGTCTGTCTCTAGCCCACCCACCCACCCAGTCTCTCTCTAGCCCACCCACCCAGTCTCTCTCTAGCCCACCCACCCACCCAGTCTCTCTCTAGCCCACCCACCCAGTCTCTCTCTAGCCCACCCACCCACCCAGTCTCTCTCTAGCCCACCCACCCACCCAGTCTCTCTCTAGCCCACCCACCCACCCAGTCTCTCTCTAGCCCACCCACCCAGTCTCTCTCTAGCCCACCCACCCAGTCTCTCTCTAGCCCACCCAACCAGTCTGTCTCTAGCCCACCCACCCAGTCTCTCTCTACCCCACCCACCCAGTCTGCCTCTAGCCCACCTACCCAGTCTCTAGCCCACCCACCCAGTCTGTCTCTAGCCCACCCACCCACCCAGTCTCTCTCTAGCCCGCCCACCCACCCAGTCTGTCTCTACCCCACCCACCCAGTCTGTCTGTAGCCCACCCACCCAGTCTGTCTCTAGTCCACCCACCCAGTCTCTCTCTAGTCCACCCACCCAGTCTCTCTGTAGCCCACCCACCCAGTCTGTCTCTAGCCCACCCACCCAGTCTCTCTCTAGCCCACCCACCCAATCTCTCTCTAGCCCACCCACCCAGTCTCTCTCTAGCCCACCCACTCAATCTCTCTCTAGGCCACCCACCCAGTCTCTCTGTAGCCCACCCTGCCTGTCCACCTGTACTCTGTCTCGTCTGCCAGCCTATCCGGCCATTTATACTCTTATTGTGCTGTTGTTCTATCTGCCGACTCTCCTGCTGACTCTTGCCCACTTTACTGCTCTGCTCTCTCCTCCTTTCTTCCCTTTCAGTCTCCCACTCTTGCCGGCTGTCCCATTCTATGCTTGCATTATAATCGTTGGCGTTTAAATTGGCACTGGTGATTATGATATCAATTGAATTAAATTTGTAATTTGAAAAAAATATCCAAGTATATATTCTGATGACTTGGCATGAATCAGTTTCTCTCTCTATGTCTGTCGAGCAGAAAGTATAAGGAGCAACTGGGCACCGTGCACTGCTTGTACATTAAGATGCCCGGTGCTTTCCCTGAGATGGAGCAGTTCATTAAGGAGACGTGCCCAAGGTGAGTGTCTAGTGGCCGTCACTCCAACAACAACAACCGCCATTCGCCACTAAGTGGCGGTGACGTCACCACGTCGCTTGTGCCAGGCTAAGTACACTTTAAGGCCACGTGAAGTGTCGAACCCTCGCTGCTGGCAGCAGGTCACGGGACAGACCCACGTGCCGTGGGTTGACTGCCTGAGATGGCCGTCTATCACTCCACCGCCCCATACACACGCAGAGGGCTTCACTTTAGGCTCCTTTAGTGACTTTTAACAGATCATCGCTTGGCCGCAACACCACATATTAGGCATGTAATGTTGCATGGATTAAGTGATTAAATATACTTTTTTAAAATCCCTAATTGCAAACGTGCAACCGTATTCTTCGAAATATAAGGCGCAATTTCTTACAATCAAGAGGTCGCTGATTTGATTCAATTTCCCAGCACGACAATTGAAACAATGGTGCAAGATTCTTAATTACCCCACTGCCTCTGCCCATCCAGAAGAATCAATGGGTGCACTTCTTCTTCTGTTAATGTCCATCCACCAAAGTCAAATGTCCTCCAATTGGCGAGCGCATCTCAGCTCGCAGATCTTGCACAGTACAGGCGCCTTCCTCGAACAGTGGGCAGAGCAAGGGGTGTCGCACAATCTCCCTTTCGCCGCAGTCGCAGCCACTCCTGTACACTGCAGGAAATCGATCGGCAGGTCACGTGCGGTGGGGTAAAGCGTGGGATACTCCCACCTCTTCCGAGACTTTGTGACCAGCCTGGATGAGGAGACCAAATATTCTCTCGAGGGCCCGGGCCTCTTTGAGCTCCCATTAAGCGCACGCCCTTCGGCAAAACAGCGCCGCGAGCAAGCGGCGTCAGGGCTGCACCTTTACCGTTTGCCTCATTCGCCGGCGTCGGCGGCACCACCGTGGGCCAGGTACGGCGCCGAGAGCCACGTGTACGAGGGCGACCTGCGGACGGCGCTCGGCGAGTTCGCGCGCTGCCGCCCGCGCTCGCGCGCCGTGCTCATGGGGATGCGGCACACGGACCCGGGGCCCCGCACGCTGGCGCCCATGTGCCCCACCGACCCCGGGTGGCCCCCGCTCCTCCGCATCAACCCGCTGCTCGTGAGCGCCCGCACGCACGCCCGCGCGCACACACGCACATGTTGCGTCTCTGAGAACAAGTTTCTTTCCGTTTGCATTTGACGCTGTGATGTAAGTGTTCTGGGGCGAAGGTGGTTTTTTTTTCCGATCGCAGCTCTCACGGCAAGCAGTGTAATATTGCCGTGTGTCGAAGAATAGCTTCAGGAACTACTGATGGAGGCTGTTCAATGAGCCTCTTGCTCCCACATGGAGAGCATGCCTCACATAGAACTTAGTTCTGTGCTTGCACATACAGGTAGAAATATATCGCATTGCATCAGCTTGTTCACTTTTTGGATTGGCTCTTGGATTTTTGGCTTTGCACTTGGCTTTCCAATCGGTTGAACTAGATTATATTTGAATATGTGCAGACACAAAGCGAAGTTCATCTTATGTTTGAGTTTACCCATAATGCTCCACGGAAATGCATGATGAGTGCGCATACCTTGTGTATGCTCTGCAAATAATTCATTAACACGTCAACCTGAAATTTTTCATCCTCGGCTAGTTAAGCGACGTACCAAATATTACGTTCGGGTTTTTATTTTTGTTGCACGGTAAATCAGTGACTGAGCTGAAAGCATCCACTCATTCGTCACACTTGGGTTGGTTGGTTCAGTGCTTGAATCACTGAGCCACCCAGCCACCTGCATTTCAAATTGAAAGCATTAATTGCCAGCGCTTGCGTTTCCAAAATGAATGAACTGTGAATTTAATACCATATTTTTTTCTTGTCATTCGTATAAATATATTGATCAGTAAAATCAATGTTGTCATTAACAATGACTTGTCCTCCCAGGACTGGAGCTACCACGACATCTGGGCGTTCCTGCGGACCCTGTTTGTCCCCTACTGCATTCTCTACGACAAGGGGTGAGCCCCTGTGGTGACAGTAGGGATCCAAATAATACACGTGGACATACAATACAGCACTCTTCTTACAGAGCATCCCAATGAAAAAACCAAAGGCCATTCAATCCCTCTCACGACTAAGCTTATACAAACAAATGCCTTTTTACATTTGACTTAAGGTTCTACTGTGCTTGCATTCCTGATATGATTTTGGGATGGAGTTTCAAAGGCGAGGGGAGCATGGAAATTATAGGACCTTGCCCCTCCTGATTTTGAGAGAACAGCTTCATGGGAAACCCCCACAGAGCCTTGCATGGTTATCGGAGATCCACGTATATAAATTAAGTAATGTACGTTGAACTTATTTCACACCGTATATGAGCACGGTTGCATAGGGCAGTCACACCACGTGTTTTCTGTGCTCATTCACTGCTGCTGATGTGGGAGTTGCGTACCGGTTGTGATTGTGCGTGTATGCCTATGTTAGTCTGATGGGGAGCAGCAGCTTGACGGTTAGCAGATTGCTCTTGTGAACTCGGCTGCCTGAGTTTAATTGCCGATGACGGCTAACATCAGTGGCGATTTTCTGATCCAGTCCTGGGCCACCCCGAGGTAGATCATTACCCGATGGAATGTGCAAACACCACCAATGGGGAGACAAAAGCGGGCGGGTGTGGTGCCAGCCACACCACCCCCACGTGCACAGTGCCGTGCTCGCTAACAGAACTTGTCCCAACAGCCTGTAGGGGCTATATGGGGAACATTTTATTTGTATGATGAGCCATGGCACACTGGCTTAATGCACTGTGCTACAAACTTGGTTATCTGTGTTGAAATCCAGACTGTGCACCAAAGCCAATGGCAGATAGTGTCTAAATTTGTCCATGGCCTCCCCTCGGGCGACAACCTAAAACGAGCACCGAGCGCAGTATGTGAACATCAGCACTGGGCAAAGGTGGCCAGGCATGGTGCCAGCCATCCTGTGCCATCCCATCATTCGGGTGTACTTGTTAACAGCACTTTCCTGTACAGCCTGTAAAGGAAGCGTGTGCGTGTGCAACCGAGATTGTGGCGCATTTGGTTGGGAAACCTCATACTATAGTCCCAGTGACCTGGGTTCAATTCCTGACCATGATGGAAATACGCATGCAGTAGCAAACGGTGTATCCTGTGTTAAACACATGATCTTATTTTACTACAATTTGCAACACATTGTTTGGTACCGCTTAGCTTCCAAGATTAGGGCCCATTCCAGGTTTTAACTTCTTCGCCTGGTATACAGAAAGTCGTGGGTTAAATCCCCACCCTGACGCCAGCTGTATATTTGGAGGTTGCACGTTCTCCCCGTGGTCACGTGGATTTTTCTCCGGATGCTCCAGTTTTTCCCTCCACATTTAGAACCATGAGTATTTGGTTGCTATACATTTACACGTGATAAGCCACTTCGGTGAGCTATCATTTGTGGCCAGGTCGCTTCTGAAAAAGAGCTACATAGCTCAGTGGGCCTTCCCTGGTAAAATAAAAAAAGAGTTCTTAGTTTAGATTACGTTGTATCATTCTGCAGGTCTGAGCTGATGGGTGTGGTGGGACACTGTGCGGCGTGCGTTGTGTCGCCGTGTCAGGTACACGTCGCTGGGCAGCCGCAAGAACACGAGAAAGAACCCATCCCTGTGCTATACCAACGCCCGCGGCGTGGAGAGCCACCGCCCTGCATACCAGCTGGAGGACGCGAGCCACGAGCGGCACTCGCGAGCCTGACGCTCCCCCCGCGCCATTACCGACAGAGACGCACCACCACAAACGCCACCACCGATGATGCCCCCGTGCCACTACCAACGACGCCCCCAGCAGTGAACGTGGCTGCAGTGTCTCACGCTCTATGGGCCTTGTGAGCAAGTCCGTTGTGGCAGCATATGCCGAGACAGTGGCCCCCAACACCGAGCGAAAAGTGGATAAATGTTGAAGAAGCCATATTAAGATTTGATTAGGAGGCATGAACTGTGAGGAGTATGCAAAATAGCCAATCAGACTGAAGTCATACCCATAACCCTAACAAACTAAAAAACCTGCTCTTAGCACCAATATCCACAACCACAGTAGCTATCAAACCTTAATGCTACATCTAAACCTAATTACACTTACCAATGACACCATGTACCTAAACCTAATCACACTTAAACAAGATTCCAGATTTACCTCTTAACCACATTGGCAAACAAGTCCTTAGCACTGCCTCTAACCCTAACCTTAGTCCCACCAGACTCTAGCACTTGCCCTGATCATAACCATTAAGTGTGTGATGATGTTTTCATTCATCCACTAAAATAGATTTTACGCTCATTGCAACAAATTGTGCACGAGTATTGATTACTTATGATTTATAACAAAAATATATGCAAGTAATATACTGATGTAACACGCTACTCATGAGACATTATTGCATCTCAACCATAATTCATGACAGTTTATCATATTGGTAGGTGGGTGGGTATAATACTTTAGGTGTGACATTACCATTCAATTAGGTCACCCACTGGCTGTAAAGTTGCACAGCAGATTAAAACGTGACTATTTAACTGCTCTTAGCGATTTATTTGTAGCTACTGACACAATACAGTCAATTACATTTAATCCCGTTGGAGAACAAGGCCATGCTCGCCAGGATTTAATATTTACTTTTTGACCAAAAGTCTTTTAAGTAAAAAGTTGTATTGCTGTTGATGGCAGAGAATGCCCATAGAGCAGTGGTTCTTAACCTGGGGTGCACCACGCACCCCCTGGGGGTACGAGATGCCCTGTCTGGGTGTGCGAGACATGGCCAGATTTTTTTTTAGATGGTAAATCATCGATACAAGTTTACTACGTTTGTTTTCTCATTCATTTGTACCTGATGATGATGGCTTGTGTTGCAATCGAAACGTCGTATTCGATTATTTAATTTAATTTCTACGTGACTTTACCGAAAGAACCAAAGAGTAATTCCTGCAGTCACGCAAGCCTCGATTCTAGTTTAAGTACAACTACTTTGTTGAATCAAGCCGATGTATTTATTAACATCATTTTTTTTACGAACCACACCATATAGAGACTCGTGATGTTACTCACGCGTGCCTCCAATGAGGGCTGCCCTCTTAGTTGTATACGAGTGGTGCCGTGAGCCCGCCAATCCGTGTTCACTCGTTTTCCGCATTGCTGCGACAACGGCAAACTTAAGGCAAGGCAGACGGTGGGCACCGCTGAGACGACGCGTCTCCTTACAAAGGGAGCTGTGGGATAAAGTAGCCGTGGGGATAGAAAATCAAGAGCACGGAGGTGTGAATGTGCTGTGCAACGATTGTGCGCGCATGTTGCCAGGTAAGTAAAATGTATAAACGTCGAATTATTTAAATGAGTTGGAGGTCCTACGAACTGAAAAGATTTTACAGGTGTAAAGAGTTTTGTAAATACAATACCTAAATGGTAAAATAAATATTTTATGAATTCAAATGACAAGTGTTACGTTCTTCAATCAACTATAGTCCACATCCATTGGTTGTTGTAATAAGTATACTATCAGCAAATCTTAGATGATTAACGTTTTCTCCATTTAAGTGAATACTTTTATATTTTTTGGGGGAAAACATCTTCTAACGTCGCTGTGAATAACCGGAGAAATGGTATCTTTGTTGAACTCTCCTTTTAATAGTACTGTATGTTGCAATTACATCCAGTCTCGTTGAACATAAACCCTGAGCATTTATGCCTCTTTTACACACGTTAAATGAGCGTCCAATCCTTTTCTACTTCATTAAGATGTTTACGAGTAATCTAGTGGTTGTTTACCTTCAAACTCATCGTGATCTTTTCAGCTTTCCTATTAGACACTTGTATTTAAAAAGGAAATGGCTGATCCAGGATTTAAACCCAAGAACCCCTCTAAGCAAGAATCATACCCCTAGATGGTCCAAGATTCACAACACTTGTCACACCCAAATTAGTTTTGCATTTTTATTAATCCAACTTTCCATAAATAAAAGCAACTTCGTTATTTTGTCAATATTTAAAATCACTTCAATTTTACATTTAAAAAGTTTCTTGTGATAATAGATATAAAAAAATGACCACGAAGTACATACACAACCATGATGTACAATGTTAACAATCTGATGCTACTTCTGGCAAGTATATCGATTGTCTGTCCTTAGGCGACTTTTAAAGCAGCAAAGCTAAAATGTTTCTCAATGTAAAAATACAGGAGTAGAATCATACAGCTCAAAGCAGCCAGAATTTGAAGCCATAACTTTCCGCGTTGGGGGCATGTACTCCGCACTCAGCTGCGCCAATCAAGAGCTTTCATGAACTCCTCTTCTGTAAAGGAAAGTAACTTGGCAGCTTCAATGTGCATCTGTGGAATGCGCAAGGGAGATAGGAGATTTGGAGGTACAGCGGGGGGGAGGCGGGGGGGGAGCGGGTGAATAAAATACCATGCAGGGAAAATAACTGCAAGGTTAAAAATTGAAAGGCATTGACAGCCCACTAACAATCTATTTAACCCTCACCCTCATACATGCCACGGCCACCTTTACTTACGAGGGTATAGGATGAGCTTAAGCTGCCCATTGGTGAAGTGTATCTTTAGGTGCTTTTTTCTTTCCCAATTAAGTTCCAATTGCGCATTTGGAATCTGAGCAAACTGCAAAAGCACTCATTTCAGCAAGCACCTGTGGCGGTCGGGTCACACGTCCAAGGTGTAATTCCCTCCCAGGTACATTGAATAGCAATACTCCACGGAGATTCTTGTCACAGTGACGGCAAGTGGCTATGCTGTTTTTGGAGCTGCCGTATGCCAGACTGACCAATGTCTGGTCCACAACTGAACGAGGTAAACGGTGCTCCACTGGACTGTGAGTCACAAGACTCGCCATGAAAATGCAACACACCTTTTGGCGTTTTAGAATGTCAATGAGCTTCATCTGTTTTTTATATCCCGCAATCAGCTCAATTTTCTGTTTCTCCAGACGCTTGCTTTCAGCACTTAGTTGTTCGATGCGAGTCCGTGCCTGCTCACCAGAGTCCTGTTGTGACATACATACACACACACACATAGCCGTACATACAGTACGTCTCGTTCCGTTGTACAAAGTTTAACCGATTTTAACTCGACTCGAGCACACAGCAGGATATGTATTCCGAAGATAAATTGTGGAGGTGGATTTGCATCAAAATTATTAAATAAAGAGGCAACAAGAGCAGGATGGAACACGTTTGGAAAGTTGAGTTTGATAATGAAAAGCATCATACTGCTGTGCCTGAGAAAACAGTTTTTGTAAGTATACATCAACAGCTATAGAATGATGGATCAGATGCAAACCTGATAATTATGAGAGAAAAAGGGGTGCACAGACTTGCAATTTGGAGACATTGCCTGTTATGTTATAAATCCCAGCATGCATCTCTCCATACTGCCAAACTTTTCAGGTTTTGTTCCATGTTATGTGCCAGTGTCCATGTTTAGAATAAATCACAGCTGACAATATGCACTGATTGAAAACTTTTCCTCTCCAGGCACAAGTAGTGTTTTTTAAAATAAATATTATTTACCAAATGCACTTCGTACTGCTTGTGTTTGCATATTTATTCATTATTTTATCCTGATCCATTTTAATAAATGTCTAAAGTGTGTGTGTATATATAGTTTGATTTATTTTTAAGTTACATTCCTCCAACTATTATTTTATTTTGATGAGCAACCGTGTTATAAATGACGTTTGTTCATATTTATCTCTCGTCCAACTTCGTAGCCTTCGTTTTGAAGGTCTTCAACCAATTTCTTGCATTCATTATCATTATTGTGCTGTTGACCATGGCTGATAATGATGTTTTTAACCAAGCAATGTGAAGATTATTCATTTTTAATGAACATGTGGAAGCAAACTGCATTATTGAGTGCTGGGATCTCACCAACGTGGCTATCCTGGGAAGTTGCACGAATTTAATGTCACCTTCACAATAGACGTAGGTAAAACGTGGCCATTATATTTTTTACAATTTGTACAAAGCTTTGTCACCTGTGAAGCCACGAGGTGAAATGCCGATTATCTCCTGAAAGAATTCACCTCCCTCATCCCATCACAATGTTTACGAATCATTCAGCAAAAGCCTCCGTGCATCTGTAACCTGTAGGATTCGCAGAGTGGTGGGTGGGGTAGGTGAATGGTAAACGGGCACGACACGGGCTGAGAGAAGAGATGGACTGACTGATACAGGTACGGGAGGATGTGGGGCTGAGTGGACTTGCCGAAGACCTGTACGGTGTCAAGATCTGCCTCTATAGAGGAGGCTCATGAAGGACGCTACTGGTCAGAGCCAATTGCCCTTCAACAACAACGGAGGAGACAAGTGACACTCACAACAATGAGCGGAGCGCTGAGCAGCTAAAATGCAGGAAGTCAGCACAGTAGGGGGCACAGCTGGTGCATCTGCCAGTCATTACAGTCAACCCATGGCACCTGCTGGGTCTGTCCCACGACCTCCTGCCAGTAGCAAGCCTTCGACACTTCACGTGGCCCCAAAGTGCACCCGGCCTGGCACAGGCGCCGTGGTGACGTCACCGTCACTTAGTGGTGAATGGCGGGTGTTGGTATTGGTGGTACCCAGAGGGGACTTGCTTAGGATGCCCCATGCACCTTGCTGGCTTGCTGCAGCCGGGTGAGCTCTGCTTTATGTCGCTCTGCCTCCTCCAGTGCTCGGTTTAGTCGCACCTCAGCTGCTCCCTGAGCTGAGGACGCCTGCTTCTGAGTCCGCTTCAGCGCTTCCAACTCCTGCGCCGACAGAACCCAGAACTCATGCACACGTATATGCCAGCACCTCGATCAGCACGGTTGGCGACATACAGTGCGAACGAAGTCCAACATACATATGTACAGCACAGAATTTCATTGGGAGTATTTTTTAAAGTTGTAAGTAATAAATGCAAAGCTGTTGGTAAGAGGCTGAGCTCGCAAGAGCTGAGATCCCAGGTTCGAATGTTGGAAAAACAGATCCTCAAGTGCGAGTTGGAGACTGCAGCCCAGTCATCATTCACTGCACAAAACAGTCCATTGTACAGTATGGCAAAACCCTTTTTCTTAATCAATCTCAGGCGTCTGATACATTTGTATCACAGTGATGACAAAATGTGCCATGAACAGCTCTCTGTAACTTGAAGGAGTACAATCCTATGGTTGCTGTAAAAGGCTTATTTTAGACACCAGAATTGTCACGTGTATATTTGGAGTTTTCATGTTCTCCCCCCGTGGTGTGGATTCTTCTCCGGGTCCTCCGGTTTGTCCGTCCACAGTTAGACTCAACATCACGCGTTTAGAGTATTTGGCTGCTTTAAATATCCACACGATAAGCCACATTTCGTTGAGCTATCATTTGTCGTGGCCAGGTCGCTTCTTAAAAAGAGCTATACAGCTTAGTGGGCCCTCACCTGGTCAAATAAAAATGTGTTTGTTTAAGCACGAGCTGTAACATCGGTTTTCATCCCGGGGTTTGGAGACCTTGTTGATGGAGGAAAGCTGTGCGTCCAGGGCATCGGCGCGGTGAGCCTGCTCGTCGGAGAGGGCGCGGTACTTGTCGGCGTGCGCCTGGTGAATCTGGGAAGAGCGCTGCAGTCTCGCTCGCTCCTCCTCCGCCTCTTTTAGCCGTGCTGACGTTGCACTCAGCTCGTCGTCCTGGCAGAAGGATACGTGTGAGGAGAAACCTGCTCTCCAGCTCCTCTTATCTGCAAAATGACTGCGCAAAATAACGTGCTGTCGACCGTTTCTGGCCAGAGATAATAGGAGGGGTGATGGATAAGGGGAGTGTCACTGGATAATGGGTGATATTACTCGGTGAGAAATAATTGAGACGAGTAATTTCTATGAAATTATTATTTACGTGAAGGGGGACCAGGACTGGTTCAGATATCCCTTACCACTGATGTTAGCTATGGCCCGGAATTGACCTCAGGTCACCGGAATCAGAGTACAATGCACTAACCACCGTAGCACAGTTCCACCCAGTTCCTGTGACACCTGGGTTCAACTATAAGGATTCTATTCTGTGGCCATGCAACCCAAACTACGGTCATAGAGTAAACCACTGTGGTCTGCGCTCCTTCAACAGTGGAATGGCAAAACTACACAAACTCTCTCCTGAAGCCGTCTCATGGCTAACAGACCTCGACATTGCTATTTAACTCATGAGCATATCGCCATACGCAAGGTTAGTATAAAGATGAACAAAAAACTAACATAACCAAAATCGAAAGTTATTATTAAAAGCATTGTCATTACAAGGATTGGGATGGAGATTTGAAGGGTGATGTTTGGATCAGAGGCACTTACAAAAACAGGATTGGAATATCGAGGATGATCGATTATTTTTAAGTTCAAATGCATGTGATTTGGAGAACACAGATATAAATATATGACGATGAACTGAAAACCACCTTCTTTCCACAAAGGTGGGAGAGTCTGTCCAGCTCCTCCTGCATCACTCGCAGCTTGGCCTTCAAGAAGCGGATTTGTGCCTCTGGATATAAAAAAAACACAGCAGCACAGAAGATAAAACACGAGCGCTGCGAGTATTAGTGAGTGTAAGTGAGTGTGAGTGAGAGTGAGTGTACGTGAGTATAAGTCAGCACCTTCTCAATGTACAGTGAGGGAAAAAAAGTCTTTGATCCCCTGCTGATTTTGTACGTTTGCCCACTGACAAAGAAATGATCAGTCTATAATTTTAATGGTAGGTTTATTTGAACAGTGAGAGACAGAATAACAACAAAAAAAATCCAGAAAAATGCATGTCAAAAATGTTATAAATTGATTTGCATTTTAATGAGGGAAATAAGTATTTGACCCCTCTGCAAAACATGACTTAGTACTTGGTGGCAAAACCCTTGTTGGCAATCACAGAGGTCAGACGTTTTTTGTAGTTGGCCACCAGGTTTGCACACATCTCAGGAGGGATTTTGTCCCACTCCTCTTTGCAGATCTTCTCCAAGTCATTAAGGTTTCGAGGCTGACGTTTGGTAACTCGAACCTTCAGCTCCCTCCACAGATTTTCTATGGGATTAAGGTCTGGAGACTGACTAGGCCACTCCAGGACCTTAATGTGCTTCTTCTTGAGCCACTCCTTTGTTGCCTTGGCCGTGTGTTTGGGTCATTGTCATGGTGGAATACCCATCCACGACCCATTTTCAATGCCCTGGTCGAGGGAAGGAGGTTCTGACCCAAGATTTGACGGTACATGGCCCCGTCCATCATCCCTTTGATGCGATTAAGTTGTCCTGTCCCCTTAACAGAAAAAAACACCCCCAAAGCATAATGTTTCTACTTCCATGTTTGACGGTGGGGATGGTGTTCTTGGGGTCATAGGCAGCATTCCTCCTCCTCCAAACACGGCGAGTTGAGTTGATGCCAAAGAGCTCCATGTTGGTCTCATCTGACCACAACATTTTCACGCAGTTGTCCTCTGAATCATTCAGATGTTCATTGGCAAAGTTCAGACGGGCATGTATAGGTGCTTTCTTGAGCAGGGGGACCTTGCGGGGGCTGCAGGATTTCAGTCCTTCACGGCGTAGTGTGTTACCAATTGTTATCTTGGTGACTCTGGTCCCAGCTGCCTTGAGATCATTGACAAGATCCTACCGTGTAGTTCTGGGCTGATTCTTCACTGTTCTCATGATCATTGCAACTCCACGAGGTGAGATCTTGCATGGAGCCCCAGGCCGAGGGAGATTGACAGTTATTTTGTGTTTCTTCCATTTGCGAATAATCGCACCAACTGTTGTCACCTTCTCACCAAGCTGCTTGGCAATGGTCTTGTAGCCCATTCCAGCCGTGTGTAGGTCTACAATCTTGTCCCCGACATCCTTGGAGAGCTCTTTGGTCTTGGCCATGGTGGAGAGTTTGGAATCTGATTGATTGATTGCTTCTGTGGACCGGTGTCTTTTATACAGGTAACAAGCTGAGATTAGGAGCACTCCCTTTAAGAGTGTGCTCCTAATCTCAGCTCGTTACCTGTATAAAAGACACCTGGGAGCCAGAAATCTTTCTAATTGAGAGGGGGTCAAATACTTATTTCCCTCATTAAAATGCAAATCAATTTATAACATTTTTGACATGCATTTTTCTGGATTTTGTTGTTATTGTTATTCTGTCTCTCACTGTTCAAATAAACCTACCATTAAAATTATAGACTGATCATTTCTTTGTCAGTGGGCAAACGTACAAAATCAGCAGGGGATCAAATACTTTTTTCCCCCACTGTACGCCACCCCCTCCCCCACTATCTCAGCTCAACAGAAGGTTGCGCTAATTCAATTGCAACCTCACTTTAAATCTACACACCGTCGAAGCGCGATCACATCTCTGTGGCCTGTACAACATAGGTGGACGTGCATATCTAGGGAACCGGTGAAGCGGGTTTTTACATTTGTTTAATTTCATTGGAATTAAGGTTTATTTCGTTAAGGAGCCGATCGGGCAGGAGAAGTCAGATGATTGAAGACATTTCCTAGAGAAGGAATAGTTATTCGGAGGCTGTAGGAGGAATAATAAAGGAGTCTCGAGTCTGGACTTGAACAGGGGTTCTCGGCAACGCAAACAACTTGGTGGAGTGAATCACAGGCTATGGAGGGTGGGGCTGCACAGAAGGATCGACCCGTTCGTTGAGTGGAGGCCAACCTGGGAGTTTCATCAGGGGGACCCTCGGTTGTTCGAGTGGAGATAACGTGCAGGGGATTTGAAAAAGAGGAGAGTGGAGAGGCAGGAAGGGGTGCATCCAAGGGAGACTTTGAACACAGCGAGGGTAATGTTGCAGTTGATCTGTCGCTGTATTTGGAGTCAGTGGAGGGAGCTAAAGTTTAGAACAAGAGCTCGGGATCAATGACCGCTCCGAGGTTACGGACACTCTTTGCGAACAAGTCAGAACTTTGGAGGGGCAGGCACAAGCCAAACGCTTCACTGTTTTTGCGACTAGGACTTCAGTTTTGGGAATATTTATCTGGAGGAAGTTTGAACCAATCAAGGATGAGAATGCATCAAGACAAGATGTGAAAGTAGACAATAAGGGTATGTATGTGTGTATATATGTGTTGAACTTATTTCGCACCATACGCATCCAACCGTGCTAATCGGAGGCGCGTATGAAGATACATGGATGCAATATCAATGCTTCACCTCGCAATAAATACGATGAATCGCATGCGTAAGAATTTGTATAAAATTAATCTGCAAATCAGAATCAGAACTGGGAGTGCATTTCCCACCGAGTAAAGCCCGTAGATCTCAGAAGCTATTGTTCAAGGGGGGTGACTCGGCCGACAGACAATTTCAAAGCCTTCCACAATCAAAGATTAAGTACCAAAATATGATAATAGGTTTTTCCCTATTTATCTGGCAACAAAACAGGTGTTAAGATGTCAAAACACCAAACTGAAACCTTTTACAAGGAATCATGTCTACATTAACCACAATGCTTGTGGTCAGAATGCAAACAATTTAGTTCTTTTCATTTATTTTTATTTTATTTTTTACCTGCGTGACTTTACCGAAAAAACCAAAGAGTATCTTAACACCTGTTTTGTTGCCAGATAAAAGGGGAAAAACCTATTATCAGCAATACCGCTGTAAAATTACATTCACGCTTAAACTTTCAGGGGTTGAAGTGACCCCTGCAGCCACTTCACATGATGCGTCTTCACAAGGGACAACACACACCTCGCTGATCTCGTCAAGGAGCATAAACCATCATCACGTGAACTCCGGTCATCCACAGTGGCTTTTTGCTGCTAGCTAACAAACAAAGATGGCCACTGCATCACACGCTTTCAGACGCGCTTCTGCGGCCGTCTGCAACGCTCTTCCACCCGATATTAGGAAGCGACTGGAGCTATGCACTTTTAATTATATACTGAAAACTCATTTCTTTAGAACTGCTTTTTGTGTTCAGTTCGTTGTCCTTCCCCGCACCTCCGATGAGCGCGGTTGGCTACGTACGATGCGAAAGAAGTTCAACATACATACAAACACTGAGTGAAGATCTACTCAGCTAGAAGAGAGGGTTGTATTATGGAAACGTACACCTGTATTATGCATACGTACATACGTGTCGAGTAGCCATAGAGACTACAAGCACAGCAAATAGCTCTGCACCCTTGTTCAAATGGTTGTGACGGTGCCTCCTGTCCCCACCGCCCATGATATTCACACATCTCTCTGCCTTTTGATGCTGTCTGAATCCAAAGCGTATCGTATTTCGATGGGCCCACTACAAAATGTTGCGAAAAAAAGCAGCGTTTCTGATGAAAATGGAACACAAGCGAAGTATAATTGTACACATACTTGTTAAATGCATGTCAATACATTCACGCCTATTAGTGCATGTGTGCTTATAAGTGTATACACAACTCTATGTGATTGTAGACAAATGTACACACGTGTACATGGGAAGCTCTGCAAAGCTTTGTATGCCTGCGTGCCTATCTGCATATGTCTGTGTGTCATTGTGCAACGGTACCTGCTCCCATCTCATTGGCTGCACTGGGCATGATGTCATCATCGGCTTCAGCAGGTAGCAAATCATCTCCGAGCGTGCCCTCAATTTTGTTGATGGTTTTGGCCAAAGAGAAGTTGGTAAAATCTTCAGGCACAGCGACATCATCTGCGGCATTCTTGGATTCGAGTGTCCTTGCTCTGGCTCTGATACAAGACCAAAGTTATTTTGCTCAACTGAAATTGTAACTGAAGCTGAAATCTGTAAAATAAACACATTAAAAAAATCTAACTTAGAAAAAACTGTTATCGTTAATTAATTATTTTTTACCCTTCTCAAGCTTTTTTCAAGCTATGTTCAATCCCGAGGGCAGACATGTAGAACATGTTATAAAAGTACATGAAATAAACAAGCAGTGCCATGAAAGGTCTAATGCAATTGTGTAAAATGGAAATAACCCGAATCTAAATTGTAAAAAAATAGAAGGGTGAGCAACAGAAAGCAGCAGAGTAAAGATATTTGGTTGAGAATTGTTCTTCAACTCACCAGTGAATTTTAATTACAACAATTGGCACATTTTAAACGTTTGTACACACAACCATTTCATTTGTTTGGCGATGTCGGGTGGTGGAAGGTTCCATAACAAAAATGTGTCCATATAATGACATGGCCGAACCCAAAAATCATTGTGAATCAAAGTTATAAGACATTTATGTAAAGTTGAGTTACAAATATACAAATAAGACCATGCTGAAGCATATATATTTTATAATATGATGAACAAGTGAAAATGTGTCCATCAAGAAAATAAGTCGCATTATAGTGGAAAATGTATGAAGGTGTGAATGTTTCAGAAACGCTGCAGTCAAAGTACAGTATTATTATTGGTGCAAGATGTGTTGGGACATTCTGAGTAAAGGAGGCTCAAGATTTAGGAGAAATCGAAGCACTTGTGTTGGAACTTACTTGATTGGCTTCCTGCCTTTGGTTGCTGAAACTGGTCTCTGAAGTTTAGTCATTTTTGATTCTGCCTTTGATTTGATTGCCTTTATAAAAAAAAAAACCCACAAATATTTCAGGGGACCTGATGTTACAAGACATTTGAACAAAACGTTCACTAAAATCACACAAATTATGGTGTTATTTGCAGGGACAAATTACCGGCTTTGGTGCTTGGGGCAGCTGTTCCTGCAAAGAAACTGATTCTGAAGAAAATACTCTGCCACTGTAAGCAGAACATGTAAAATATTAGAAGACGAATGCCACACATGTCATGATGACAGTCATGCACAGCACACGTGCAAAATCGGTATCGCAATATGGCCTAGGCCTCCCTTAGGTCAACTCATTGTAAGATTAACAGATTGGATGGTTTTGGTATCAGCATCAGTGACTGTGGAGTTGTTTCTCCAACTGTCCAGCGAACAGAGATGAGATCATTATTACTGGCACATTATAATTCGTCATTACGCTACGATTCTAATTTGCTCATTATTAACAAAGAACATATCCATATCTAACAGCCTTTCAAAATTCTTACCCCCATATCTTATTTTTGCATATATTTCTTTTGAAATTAATAACATTATTTTGCTACAAGCATCAAAGTACAGAGTGAAGTCATCAGCAACAATTAAGGACCCTCGATGAAATACCACAGAACCACAGTTTTTTCTGTCTCCTCAAAAGGCATCCCCACTACAACCACAAAATCCCATTGCTTCACGCTTTACTGACATACTGCATCTTTTTGCATATGCAATGAGCAGTAGTTTGCACAGTGTGTAGCCAAACGTGCTAATCGGAGGTACTGCTGTTAAATCTTGCCCACAAATGTATTAAACAAAAGAATGCACAGTATTGAACAAAACTAAACTGGGTGGCACCCTCTCTCGATTCGCCATGGTGGAGAGTTGTTAACTACCTCGCCTGATATACAGGAGGTTGTGGGTTCGATCCTGACTGACGCCTGTATATTTGGCGTCTGCATGTTTTCCTCGTGGTCATGTGGATTTTTTTCCGGATGTTCTGGTTTTCCTCTCCACATTAAGAATCATACATTTCGATTATTTGGCTGCTGTAAATGGCTACGTTATAAGCCACTTCGTTGAGCAATCATTTGTGATAGCCAGGTCGCTTCTGAAAGAGAGTTATATAGCTCAGTGGGCCTTACCTGGTAATTTAAAAATTATATTCTTTGGGTGTTTCGGTAAAGTTACGAAGATAGGTTAAAAAAATTATGAAATAAACAAAAAAACTACGACGTTTCGATCGCAACACAAGCGACCGCCATCAGGTGGAAAAAAACCAATATGAATTCCTGCAGTCATGAAAGCTTTAAGTCAAAATATCAAAATTGTTTTAGTTGAGATTCAATTGCTGATAGTGCCCCTTCGCATTTATTTTTCTTTTAGCAGTCAATTTTGACCGTAATGGCTTCACACAGTCAACTCGCACTGGGCTGTGCTGGCATAATGTGTAATAAAAATCCAGTTTATTTCCCTGCAGTGTTGGTAAAAGTAAAAAGTTGGTTTATGCATCCAGTGCGAAGGCTGAGTGATTCCTCTAAGTCGGAGACAATTGCAATGAATGGAAAACTAAATTGCAGTGATAAGCTGGATGGATATTGGTAATTGATAGAAAGCTCTTACCTCAACGCTGTTTGGTCATTTTCATTGTCTCCTATGTCACTGTATGCAGAAAAGCTCAAATATGTGGGGACAGGCTTGGAGAGAAGCTCTTGTTGCTCTCTCTGTAGAACCCCACCCATGCGCGCACACACACACACCATGCATTTAAAAAGACATATGAAGCATTGCATAGTCGACAATAAAATACACATGCAACGTCTACAACCTGCTGCTCATGCCACATTCTTACACCTACTTCTGCCAGGCTGTGCGACTTACTTTTACTAGGCCGCCATAGCTTCAGAATCAGAATTAGAATATGTATTCATAACTGGAGGAATCCGATAAGCTAAAAAGCTCTTTTTCACAGATGTCCAGTAGGGGCGGGTAAGAACGTTACAACCAACAATACAAAAACATGATAGAAGTTACAAAGAGAGCGACTCGCTTTCAGCTGTGACCATATGATTGCTTCCTCTTGGCCTAGGAGCAAGGGATTGTGAGCGGATGGTGAGTGGATGGGGAGCACGGAGGCGAAGGGCTGAGCCCAAAGGTGCCACACATTCATAAAGCTCTTGGGACAACAAATGGTCCATGCTGGGTCATATAAACAAGGGCCCGGTATGCCTCGGAATGGTTTCTAATGTCTAGAAACTGTTCTAATGTCTATAAAACCTAATGGTAATGGAAACAAAGCCTAAATGACACAGGAGGACCTAGACCTGCACAAGCAGGTTGCTTACGGAGCAGCAAGATACACTCCATGACATTTAAATAATAATATTGTACAGGTACATTCTGCTTGCAGCTATAAGACACATTATAAATACAAGAGGGGATAAATACCAAATCAGTTAGTGTGCTGTGCTATGCACATGGGGAACTGAGTACGATTCCCAACCCCGACTTACTCCAGTGCCAAGGGACATCTAAACTAGTCCAGGATCCTCCTAAACCAGCATGGCAGGGTCAAACATACCTTCAGACCAAGAGGTGTACAGAGGCTGCCATTCAGCAGTGGATTGAAAAGAGCTAAACGTGGTGTATTCATTATTTACGATATACAATACACTACAAAGTTGATAACATTACATTTAATATATCAGAACCGTGTTCAACCAGGTAGAGATAATCCTGGATGGGAATTATCTTTCTCGTGCCTACTTTAGTGGAAATTTAATTTTGACTTGATTTTTGTTCATATGTATTCTTCGTTACGAATATTCCATTGAAGTCAAAATGTCTGTGTCCAAGCAAGCATGTGGGGGCTCTGGGGCAGTGGTGGAAATTCTGCATTCCCTTGACAATGGCCAGTCTCTACCCAGGACCCAGAGGAATAATAGCAGTTAGCTCTTCATTAGGATTTGAACAAGGAACCTTCTAACGGTAGGCCGCTGCAACGCCGCGAAATAACCTATTTGCCATTATTGCTGCTTCTACTGAAGACACTACTGATAGTAACCTCCTGCTACTGGTATATTGCATTTAATTATAATGGAATTGACGTTAGCTGTAGGTTTTTTTCAAAGGGCACGCACCATCACTGCCTCAGCCTGCTGCACCAGCACCGCTGTCTTGGCCTCGAGCTCATTATTGAGCCGTCTGCATGGCACACACGCGCGCGAAACCAAAACAGGAATTTACATGAACATTATCAGTATTACCAACACATGGTAAGCATATCCATCATCATCAGCATCATAATCACCACTATCATCTTCAACCTTACCATCATCATCATCAACACCACTACCATATCATTGTCACAATCACCAGCTAAAAAAAAACATACAATGTATGTTGAATTAATTTGGCACCATACGTAGCCTACCGTGATAATTGGAGGTAAAACAAAGTAACTGGTATTGGTCATATATCCCAATGATGAAAAAAATACCTGCAAATTACTTAATTGGGATGACTCGAAACATCGACCCCAACTAAACAAAAACTTGGCAGGGCTTTTATAAAAAAAATCTTGAGGCTCAATGAGCCTTTCCTGGGTAAGCAAGCATCATAACAATTGTCATTACGAGTATCATTCATTTTATATTGATAGTAGCATAGATAAAAGGAAATTATATATCAATTCAAACAGTATAATATTAATATAATACTATGACAACTATTCTAATAAAAAGTATAACATCGATTATATGTTTGTGGTAACCTTGATAAATACCATACCAGGATTCTCACTCCACCCCCCAAAAATAACTTATTCCTACCCTAAAATAAAATGTGGCAAGTTAACCAAAAAATATAAGCGGGAGACCAGTGATAGTGACAAACATTGTAGGGGGATTGTTATTTCATGTGGATTTAAATGCAATATATAACGTTAACAGATGCAATACTAGTGGATTAATACATTCTAGTTTCAATGCAGGGACTTCATTGCACAATGATCACAATGCAAAATATAATACAGCATGCTGAAGGATGCACCAATAGTGACAGACACATGCACATACTTGTAATTTTCCTCCATTGCAAGGAGGTCATCTTGCGTTGTTTTTTTAGGTTGGGCAGAGGCTGCACGGGGAACAGTTTTCTGAGCTGGTGGCTTTCTCGTCTGCAGTCGGGGAGCACAAGCCCATAAACAGACATCGTCGTTAGCGACAAAAACTATTCAGGCAATTGGTTAAGTAATCCAGCAATGTACAGGTATCCGGTGGAAATACATTTAAAATCATTGCCGGTACTTAACATAATTCATTTACAGGTGACAATCCACAGAAATAATGTCTTTGGTGGTCTTCACCAATAAATGCACCTCCGATTTCCCGCACCTCCAATGAGCACGGTTGGCTACGTACGGTGCGAAAGAAGTTATGCATGCATGCATCATTGATTAGTACTAGTAACGAATTGACATGTTTTGTTTACGTGACAAACCTTACTAATTGGATGTGTCGGGTGGTGGCGGGCTTCACGACACATTTATATTTACGCGATTTAACCCAAAAAACCTGCATTATGAATCTGGAATGTGTTTTGAAGGCACATTCAGTTGGTTACTGCGATAGCAACCGTATCCACTAGAGGGGAGTCCTAGGCTTCCTTAAACATCTCTTAGGTCATGGCCATCAATGGCAGCACATATGTTAGTGGAATACGGTACAGTATATACAGATATTTTATTGACACCCAGGGAACTGCACAATGAAAATTTTATATTTTGAATAGTTAAGAATACAGCACAGTTTGAAAATGTAGGCTTTAAGCAGCAAAACACAATTAGCCACTTTTGATATCAAAACATCAACTTGATAGGAGTGTCGAGTACAATACTCACGCACAACTTAAATGCCAGGCGGTAAAATATTTTGTTCATAGTCCTGAATATACATTTCCTCACAGATATGTTTTAACATGTGCGTGAAGAGATACTTTCTAAACACATTGCTATTTAATTTGCTTTGTAACTTTCATCCTTACACATGTAGCGATAGTTCAATTTTAATGTGTCATTTTATTGAGGGACTGTGTGTTGTCTTGGTGTGCTGTTGTTTTGCTGCCTTACCCAAGCTTGGAAATTGTACTTATGCAATTTAAACTTATACACTTAATCTATTTTACGTATTTATTTTAGTGATCTGCTTACCTTTCTTATACTTTTCACTCCTATCGTTTTTGTATTGTTTGTTGTTGTAAATTTCTGATCCGCCCCTACTGAACATACGTGAACAAGAGCTTCATAGCTCATAGGATTTCTCCAGGATAAATCATTATTTTGATTATGACTTAAAAGGGGTTGTAACCATTTGCACCCTTCGTGATTAAATGGATTGTTACGATTCCATCATAGTTTTCAATATTCTGGTAAATGTAGCGGCTTTCCGTGGCTGAACGGTCACGTGAACCTATTCCATATTGCATACACCAGACAGTAAGTTAATTAATAAACAATGATTCAAACAAAGTAGATTGGATGCATAATATCGTGAGCTTCAGAATCGATCTAGAAGAGTCCTTGCATCCTAACCACATGTTCTGTTTTATACCCTTTAATTCTCATTAAAGACACGGCTTGATTCAATGAGTTTTCCTCCTGCTCAAAGGACTAATGTATAGTTATGCAGCATACTTAATGTATATGTACAGTTTATATCCATCTGGGTGGCGCTGTGGTTAGATCACGCTCGTGAATTCATTCCACGTCGGGGGGGGGGGGGGGGGGGGGGGTCAACTTGACCTACCAATACAAAATACCGAGCCCTGCTATGGAGTTGGGGGAGGCAATGTTTAATTTACATACGGATTCAGACGGTTCCTTTCACGATAAATCAAGTGTCGCGGGCGTATATTAAAGCAAATGTTAATTCGAGGCATTATTATTATACATCGCGTTTATTGTTGATTTTCGCGCACAATTATAAACATAGGCTGCTCAAAATTAAATGTACTTTTATATATATTTTTTTTAAATCGCAAAAACAATAACTTGCGCACAGACCCGTGGAAGGCCAGAGTGAATGAGTCACAACCCCAAACGGCTTTCAAACGCAACTGCAATCGGATAACTGCAGCACCCTCATATGCCAGGCATACCGCACATTTATCCGCGTGCACCTTACGCATCGGTGATATTAGTAGCAAATCTGAGCCGCTCACAATGAGCAAAACACACAAAGTTAATTCACCTTCGCGGAACGCGAACGGTTTGCATCGTCCGCCATGTTGCCCCCCTTTGCTGAGTGACGTCACGCGGCGGTAACCAAGGCGATCGTAAACAAAACCCAACGGTGCTGGACCATAGCCTGGGTGCGAGGGGAACGGTTCTTTATTTACTCGAATTATTATTTACGTTGCCATGAAAACCGAAACCGCGGGGTTTTGCAGACAGAAGCGACAGCAGCGCAAAAAATATCGAGATTGACACATGAAAGGGGTGACTTGTGCATTGGTGTCTAATAATACTAACACATACACACGAATAATAATATTCAACTACAACACATGTGTAGTGTATTCCATTTGGAAATTATAACCCGTAACATGTACGCAATTTTCTATACGCATCTTATTGCAATTTTCAGTTAATATATTCCGTATGTGCTCATTAACCTTGGAATTTTAACGGTGTATTTTACGCGCCTGCACATGTGTACGTACGTTGATCATATAGCGTATGTTTTATTTGTAAAAATGCAACCAACGCTTACAAAAAAAACTAACCATACCGCATTTGTTTGTGCAACGTACGTTGTTTGTTCCCTGCGCGTGTATTATGTATGTAACGCGTGGTGCGTGCATTGTTATAGCACGGGTCACTTAACACGCGTGCGTAAACAAGGCACAAAAACACGCACACACAAGAGCGCAGCGCTACCACACGTGTGTGCACGCACAGCCCCTCCCTCCCTCCCTCCGCACGGCGCTTGTCACTCGGACTGCACCAAACCCACCAACCTCCCGCACAGTGGGGGTAAAATCTCCAAACTCTTGCCCGTCAAACATCCTTATTTTAACCACGCCGTGGCTCCTTCATTGAATCGAGGAGGTAGTAATTCGTAAAACTTGTAATATTTAGAGTTTGTTTATGAATCGAGCGCGTTGCTTGGCAAAATTAACGGTGAACTTAGATGGTTCCACCCCCATGAAATGTCGCTCGCTTGGTCGGGTCGTGCTCTGGCAGAGCCGAGCTCTCTTCCTATGTGGGGAGAGAGACCACGTGAAGCGGGCGTCGGGCACGGATAACAAAAGTTTTATCTTCGTGCGCGTGCCTGCTTTACGGGGCGATGCGGGGAGATATTAATAAAAGACGTTGAAAAAGATAGAATCTCACGAGCTGTGTTCGCAGAGGGGGGCCCAGTCGTATTGTACGGACCGCGCATGTACATAACGCGGGCTGCCCACCGCTAATTGTCGCAGCGTATGTTGAAGCCCCGACGTTCGCCTGCATTCCTGCGCCCGGAGACGAGCTGCGATGACGGGCGAGGGAGACCTGGGATCGGGCCGACCAAGGGAGGAGAAACCTGCGGCGGGCAACGTTTGAAAGTTAAAGAAGGGGGCCTTCGTCCGTCCTCCCCACCCGATTGTCTCCCCCCGGCCTTCGGGACTGGGTGTCGCAGGCGCAGTCGGGGGGGGGAGCACCCCGGCTGGCGTGCGAGGAGGAGGAGGCTGGGAGCTCGGGGTGGTTGGGGAGCCCTGCCGGGGGAGCGCGGAAACACGGAGCGGTCCGTGTTGGGGGCCAATAAGGCGGCCAGAGAGAACAGGCTAGCACGAGGTCCCTCGTAGGAGGCTAGGCCAAAACGGCGTGTGACCTGCTTTGTGCCTCCTCTGCCGCTTTGTGAGGCTACGCGCGGGGGAGTCGGGGTTGGTAGCGGGGCTGAGAAGAGATTGCGGCATTCGAGGGTTAGCGGAGAAGTCTTCTTCACCCGTCGGAGGCCCCAAACCAAGCGGGAGCAGCAGCCATGGAGGAGCAGACGCTCCTTGACAGTGGCCTCTCGCTGCTTCTGGACACCGATCTGGCCGCGCTGCAAAAAAACATCCAGGCCACGTCTATCGGGTGAGTGGCCGGGTCTCCGAACGCGTGAAACAACGAGCGCGAGGGACATGTTCGCTCCACTGCTAGCTGCAACCTCCCCCCCCACCCCCCCGCTGCAACCCCGCGGGCCGCTGCCGTGACCTGGCACCAGCGGCCGGGAGCCTAGCGAAGGCTTCCCGCAGAGGATTCAGGCGAGATCGGTCGTAAACGGTGACGGGGCTACGAGAACTAAGACAACAACAAAAAGGGATTAAATTAATAACCGCACACTTGTGTAGCAAGTAAAGTGTGGGATTAGCGGGGAGATATTGCTGTGCCTTGCAGTTTTGTGAAGGTGCATGCACGGACGTGTTTGAGGATTTGTGGCTCCGTTAAAGGGTCTTCATTATAGACAACACTTTAATTACTTTACAAAAGGTAAGTTGAAGTCAACTAATTTTGTGCACCGATCGGTGCTCGAGTCAACTCTTCTTTTTTTAAACGCGGTTTTTTTCGTCTTTCTAAATGTATCCCCTTAATACGTTTACCGACTCGCATGATTTCTGCTAAGTAATAATTAATATTAATTGTTGATTATTATCGCTACAAGATAATGTACACAAAGAGTGGTTGGCGGGATTCCCGTAACTGCATTGTGTTATCCGATATTTAACTCTCCCAAGTTTTTTTGTCATTCGCAAAGTAACATAAAAGCATCCTGCTCCACATTGCATTCGTCATTATTTTACACATTCCCTGCAAAAAAACACGATCTTACATAACGGAATGGAGCTGAACATGTGAATTTGTTCTATTTGACGAATTTCAGTGAACACATTTAAATATTTGTTAGTTTTTCAATAATTGTAATAGCGGGATTTAGGATGTATCATGTGTTTATTTTTTTTTCTCTTGACAACGTTAACACATTTGCACGCAATCAGTCGTCGACGAGTGCTGCTGGCTCACCCGATACACGATTCAATATCAAGACTCGAGAAAACACAAAAAAATAAACAAACCCTTCACCACACACCGGTTATAGATGCCTGGCGGAAAAAAATAAACTGAAATAATGGTGCGAAACATTTGGATGAGATCCAAAAAACACTTCGCGCATTCGCTTAATTCGCACTTTCGCTGTCCGCAAACCGCGGCGGCGGCGGCGGTGGTGGTGGGAATTTGTAATCAAATATAATGAAATGAAAGAATAAAAGGGTTCGCTAAATAAACACGTCTTTAAAGGCTGTGCCTATTGTTAACGCGTCCGCGCATAGACAATAGGGGGGGGGGGTGGTGTTGGTGGTGGTCCTAACGCCCCACGGCGCAGCACACAGCCTGCTGCTGCTGCTTCTCAATGTGTTGGAATGTTGTCCCCATTGTTTTCTCAATACGTTTAAAGGAGGAAAAGATGACATATAATACGACACTTTATCAACTCTCCCCCCACAACCCCCCCCCCACCACCAAGGTGATGCTTGCAATGATGTCATAATTTCGTGACGCATTCGTACGGTGGTGGTGGTTAAAAAAAAACATGTTTTTGTGGACAATGAATACAAAATAAATTGAATCATCACAACTGGGGGGGGGGCATCTTTAAAAAAAAACAAGCCGATGTGGTTTTTGTATGTGCGTATTATATATGATAACCATAGACACGCGCCCCTGTTGTTTGTCTTTGTACGTACAGAATGTACACATGGTGTGGTGTGCATACATTACAGTAGTCTCTTAGGCTTTATTTGACTACATACTATATATATGTGCACGCGTGGTGTTCACATGAATAATGTATTCACTGTTATGGCATACTTAAATGTCATTACATATTGGTTGCAATAGTGATATACTGTTTATACGGCTATATTGGCGCCATATATCTAGAGGTGTTATACGCATTCTAACGTGGACTGCCTTGACACGTGTATCCTGTATAATCTGTCATTGGATATGCACTGTCCATATTCGCTGCTGTATGTGCATCTTAGACATTCTAAAAGAGACTACATGAGAGAGGGTGTATGGGTATTTGTCCGGTAGTCAATAGCTACTATTAGGCAACTACTGTATGCTTGTGCCTGTTTATAAACTGGTAATATAAACATTTAAAAAAAATGTTATTCTCATCTGGCCACATGCTTGTTCCACGTGCAGTCTCCAACCCTTGTTAACGCTTATCTGCTATGCAGAAGGACCAATGCCTGAAACGTCGCCGATTATGTACATTTATTTTAAGGAAGTGTTATTGATTTAAGCGAGTTTCTTGTGTTTGGGTGTATAGTAACATGCATGCCCTACTGTATTAATGTATACTTAACTCTTACAGTGCAGTGTCTTGTAAGGAATAGGATTGCGTCTATATTATATTACGCCTATTATGTTTACCTTTAAATACGAGTTGTTTTAAATCGAAGTAAGTTTATCATGATTTTTACGTGCACCCTTTAAAACGGGTAAAGCGACTCGTGTGGCCATGCGATAATACGCCCGAATCTTCTTTGTGAACTAGCGACCTATATCAGCAGTAGTAACTGCAGTGTACTTGGCAGTGCTCATTGTGCTGTTGGACACTCGCTGCGTGTGTTTTGCGTGTGTAAACATCTTCACTAGGGAGACAAAGGCGGCCGGGCGTGGCGTTGACCACCCATCCCATCGCTGTACCGTGCCGGCCTTCATAGGTGCCACTCGCTAGCAGCACTTGCCCCTGCAGTCTGTTAAGGCTACACGGGGGACCTTTGTCTTTTGTGTGTTGCGTCCCCGTTGTTTTTGCGCGCGATATCCGAGCCACGTCAATCCTCCTTCCACTTGGCGCCATGTGTGAAAGAAAACGCAAAACGATGACCGTGCCACACCAGCATTCATTATCGGCTGATTTGCAAGGCCGTGGCGGCAAGTGTTATTTAATAGCGGCACTTGATTGAGGTTAGCTTGGCTGGGCGGCATTACACCACGCCTGACCGCCTGTAATCCTTGCAGGCTATGGGGGGCTGCTGGAACGTCATGTAAAGAGGTCCAAGTCCTCCTCGTGCCTTTGTTCATCCACAGTCTCCCCCCCCCCTTGTTGCAGGAGAGCCCCACGTTGTCTCTGAATGGCCAGCCCCCCCCCCCCCCCCACCTGTTTATGCCTTGGTTAAAGGAGAAGCTTTTCCCCCACCCCTCCTTCCCACCCGCTTGAATGTGGTTCTATTATTTACACACACACACTGCATGTTTCATTACAGTGGCACCACGCAGGGCATATACAGTGGGCTCCATCTGTGGTGCAGTGGTTGGCGCACGATACTGTCCATGAACGAGGTTTGAATGCTGCCTGTGGCTAACATTGAAAAGTGATATTTAACCTTTCCTGGCCTCCCTTTGGGGCCGTCCATAAATGACGTCACGCACCTGGGGGGGGGGTCAGACATTTGTGCCGAGGGGGGGCGGGGTTGAGAAATTTGACGTCACATCAAAAGGCACAACTTTAAATAAATATAGAATTGTTATAACGACACTCCTACAACATCAGTGCAGCGCCACATTAAATACGCACTACAATGACAATAGTTTAAAGCGATTTGAAGCATGTTTTATTTTAAAAATGGAAATATGGTTTTGGGGGGGGGGGCAGAGCTTTGTGACGTCATACTTGAAGGGGGGGTCTGACTTTTTGTGACGCCGTGTGACGATGGGGGGGGGGGGTAAGAAATCGTCCAAAATCGCGTGACGTCATTTATGGACGACCCCTTTATCAACTTGCGCTGACCAGCATGGTGAAGTGTGGTCAAATATCCCCGACGGAATAAGGAGGCCTACTCGTGGATTGACAAAGAACTAAGTTTTAAGGTGCACACTGTAAGATCTGTAAGTACATTGTGTACTTGCTTGCTATCCATATATATTTTACACACATCGCTACGCTTATGCGTTGCAACAATAGTGGTTACGAACGTCTGAAATGGGCCTTGGCATCCCTAATGAGTACGGTACTCGCTGTGGTGTTGACATCTGCACTGGAGAGACAAAGGTTGCTATGTGCGCTCCTGGCCACACCACCACCACCTTGTGACATGCCACCCTTGAATCAGTAAGGCTCCGTCTTAACAATACTTGCTCTGACAGACCATGAAACCGAATGGAATTAGGTTTTTTTTGTGAGTTAGCTTTGTACCCGACCTGTTTAAATGGGGAGATATGCTGCAGTGTTTTACACAACTCTACTGTATTTTAATCCCAGTGACCCAGGGATCAATTTTAGACCATGCCAAATGGTATCTCAGTGTGGTGTTTGCCAGCCTAAAGTTGCCTTGCATTAAAAAAATGTGTACCTGGTGATGCGCGTCAACGGCAGCGCTTCGGAAACGTATCACTCGGCTTTTATTTATTGGCCGCTGCCATGCGCTAGCCACTCACTAGCTGTGTTGCTTACGAACAGCACTTGCCCCAAAACAGTCGAAGGCGAAATGAGTGGACTCACAGCGGTCAATGTTGGAGAACAACAAAAACACGGTTAAGCCAACGTTTCAGGCAATGCCCCTCGTCCTGTTCCTCCACCAGGGTCATTTAACTAAACGGCAGGAAATGGCTGCGCTTTAATTGGTGCCACGGTGCAATGATGGGGCAGGGCTAACGGGCCCGCGCTGGAGTTTAAGGAAAGGTTTCTAAAAGTGTGCACTCAGTATGACGGCCAGCACAGAGGCACCAGCAGCATGCCCAACCCTATCCGGCGAGCCATGGGAAGGAAGGCGCTGTCGGCCAAAACCGCAGCGGTCTCACAAGCAATCACCCGGTGTTTTGGCCGTACTGTATATTTAGTACGGGTACGCGCGTCCGTAAGTGAAACGGCGAGACCAAAAACAACCCTGGTTGTTACAACACGCAAGGTTTTTGCGGATTACTCACTCCGGTATCCAGCGTGTACAATTTGATAACTGAGAGTCTGCGAAACACGTTTGCAGATTGAATTGGCAAAGTAACTTGAATTTGAAATGACAACTTTCAGTGTTTTTGTAAAACATTCTTCTTGCTCTCTGCTCCCACTACTTTCCTCTTCTTTGAGC